CTGATTTCTAAAATGGATCCGATCAAGTACATAAATAATATAATTAATATATATACTTTCTTAAAGAAAATTAGGGTTTTTACCCTTAATAAAAATAATCTTTTATTTCTATTTTTTTAATACATTAAATATTATATTCTTACATACATAAAAATAAACAAAATTTTTTTTTTCATACTTATAATATTTTGCATATTCATACTTAAATTGTTTATTTAAATATTGCTTATTTATTATTTGATGCAAAGAATTCAATTTGGATGTAATAGTAAATCTTAGGGTTTTATTTTCTTGCAAATACTCCCCATTCAAAATTGTATCCTCTTCCTCATATCAATGTTGTAATATTCGTAGATTGATTTTACGCATTTATAGCTTTCAAATATGCCATGATAGAGATTAGGGTTTGTATGCAATATTCAAAATCAAAACAAATAGTTGGACCTAATACAAGACATAAAAGCATGTAAATTGACAACACAATGCACACATGCACCCCTAGAGTTTTCATCCACTTATTGCCTTTAAAATGGCCATGTTATGCATGTTGAGTATCTTGGCAAAACAAAAACAAAACAAAAGATCATAGTCCCTCGATGATGCTATCTTGGTTGCCTATGCAAAATGATCTAGTCCCTCAAAAATTTGCTAAAGATACTTAGCACAATTGCTATCATGGTTAATACGATGACTCGCACCTATCCCGTTTAACATCCAAACACAAGGTTGTTTACTAAATACAATGGTAAAACAACATTGTCAAAAGGGTTAAAAATGTGTAGGAAAGATCTTTGACTAGATAGGGTAGACAACTCTTAGTTACTTGATCAAAACTTGCAAACATCCTTGCTATTTTCAAACACACCTCAAAACACACAATTTCAAAACATTTTCCCAAAACAAACTTTCAAACATTGAAACATATTTTCAAAAGACAAACACCTTTGTATATATTCAAACAAGAATCATTACAAAGGTTGCCACAACAATGGCCTCTTTTCAAAATATTTTCAAAACCACACACAAAGCACCATTTCAAACAATTGAAAAGCAAAAGCAAGTGATCTAAACAAGTAACTAAGAGCCCATGGAAAACCATGGATGAAAAGGGTGCTTGCACCTTCCCTTTTCATAATCTACCCCCCGAACCCAAGAAAACATCTCAAAGGTCTTTCCTGTGGTTTTTGACCTTTTCTTTGGATAAAATAAAAAGTCGGTGGCGACTCTTGCTAAACCGAAACATTTGCAAACACAAACGCAAAACCTCAAGTCAGTTCTCCCACCGTATCACACATAGGATCATCGAAAACTTAATTATGATCGCATTTGTCCAAAAATTCTACCACTCGTCAGCAACAATCCATCATTGAAGGTGAAAACCATAATCTCCCATATCACTACGGTATTTAACTATACTTTGTCTTACCGAAAGGCGTGGTTAGCAAAGACCAAAGCGATTGAAAAGGTATATGGAAACTGGGAGGAGTCATACCAAGAACTTCCTCGCTACCTGAATGCACTCCAGACTTATTCTCCGGGTACTGTTTACATTCTGGGAACAGTGCCAGCATACGCCCCGGATGGTAGTCAACTCAACGGAAATGGAATATTTAGTCGAGTGTTTTGGGCTTTTCAACCTTGCATCATAGGGTTTGCGTCATTCAAACTAATTATACAAATTGATGGGACTTGGTTGTATGGGAAATACAAAGGCACGTCACTGATGACAGTTGCACAAGATGGCAACAACAACATTTTCCCAATTGCCTTTGCCCTAGTCGAGGGGGAGACTGGTGGTGCTTGGAGCTTTTTTCTCAGAAATCTGCAAACACACGTGGCTCCTCAACCAGATCTCTGTTTGATCTCGGATAGACATGCATCCTTTGAAAGTGCATACAATAATCCTGCAAACAGTTGGCATGACCCTCCTTCTACGCATGTCTATTGCATTAGATATATCGTCCAAAATTTCACGAGGGAGATCAAAGACAAAACACTTAGGAAAGCGGTTATGAATGCGGGATATGCATTGCCACAACCTACATTCAAATATTATCGCAATGAGATCTGTTTGTCAAATCCGGAAGCCGGTAGGTGGATCGATAATATTCCGGTAGAAAAATGGACTAGGTCATACGACAAGGGACAAAGATGGGGCCACATGACAACAAACCTAATTAAATCGATGAATGGGGTATTCAAAGGCATACGAAACCTCCCGGTCATTGCTTTGGTTAAATCAACATATTTTAGGATGGCTTCGTTGTTTTCCAAAAGAGGTGAAATATGGAATGTGGTGTTGTAATCTGGACAACTATGGAGTGAAAGTTGCATGAAGTACATTAAGGCAGAAAGTGCCAAAGCCAACACCCATATGGTTATACGGTTTGAACGACATAGCCACAACTTCATTGTCAAAGAGACAATCGACCACAACGAGGGCCTACCAAGACAAGAATATAGGGTTGTACTACCTTCTCGTTGGTGCGATTGTGGCAAGTTTCAAGCCTTTCGTATGCCTTGCTCTCATGTCATTGTCGTGTGTGCCTATACTCATCAAGACGCGCTACAACTTCTGTCACACATTTACAAATCTAAAATGTTGCTCAACGTTTACAACAACAACTTCCATTTGGTAGCAAAACCAGATTATTGGCCTGTATACGACGACGAAATAGTATGACACAATGACCAAATGCGAAGGAATAAAAAGGGTCAACCCAAAAGTAAGCGCATCACAATCGAAATGGACTCCCTTGACAAGCTGAAAAGAAAGTGTGGTTTATGTCGTCAGGTCGGACACAATCGCAAAAATTATCCGAATCGGGCTACTGCCTCAACCACATAAAAATTGTATTACAAAAAATATTTCCTTTATTATGTTGTAAACATTAGGGTTTTTCGTTAACAATATTTGTTACAATAAACATTGCGCGAACAAGAAAAAAAACATGATAAACCGTCTACAAAATTACAACCGTTAAAACAATTTCATCTGACCCATGCATCATCAACATTATGTCGTTGTCTGTTTTGACTTCCTCCAACCAAAAATTAGGTCTTCCTGTCGCAAGTGAGGTTGTTGTTCGTCTTTGCTGGATCCTTCTAATTTTTTCCCCTCCACGATGTCTCCCTCTAACCATCGCATCAACTCCCTCTTCAGACGCTCCATGGAGTGAATGTGCCGGAATTTCATTTTCATCGGAGATTTTGTGGCGGAGAAGGTAACGTAACCATCTTTGGTAAAAATCATGGGCGATGTCATGATGCAAATAACAGAGTAAAAAATAAGAAAACAGTGCGAGAAAGTGTGAGAAATGATGGAGAAACGGACGAATTATTTATAAAAATAGCATTTTTCCCTAGGAGCCAAGTGAGATGACGCCTCCTCTCACTTTTAAAGTGCATGCGCCATCTCACTTGGCTAAAAAAGAGAGGAGACGTCAAGTGGGATGTCACCTAGGGAAAACTTGTGAGTGGAGACGCCAAGTGAGATGACTCATCCCTTGAAGAGTTTTCTGAAACATGGTTATTTGCGAATTTTTTTTTTAATATATGATTATTCTAAAAAAAAAAATCTCTTAATGGAGTACAATGTCAAATTCTTGCCAAATTTACACAAAAATTGCATGACAAAGTTGATAGAAGAAATTTGCAAAGCCCACGCTCATCGTATCACACAATTTGAGAGAGAAAACTTTTGTTTCAGTGTATAAGAAACTATGAACCACAACAAGGGACGACCAATTATACATTTAAAAATCAACCTACAACATATGTGGTGTGGCTGCCATAATACAATCTAAATTACTATCCTTTAGTGAAATGTATGGGCAACCAAAATTTGTTTTTCTCACTTTCATGGACTCATCATTCAAATGTATAAACCAACATTTTACACGTGATTTAAACTATTTGAAATTCTAATCCACCTTAAAGAAAATGCTCAATCACACATTATTCTTCTGAAAATACACCAAAATATTAATATACATATTTGAGGATGAAAAATTATAAAAAGAAGAGAAAAAGTATGTTTAATAACTACTTAAAGACCTCTATTTATATATGACTAGATGTTGATATTAATCACATACACGCCAAAGAGAATAACAAACATATATTAAAAAAAACTATCACCACACAGTCATATACTTCAACAAAAATATTTTTGAAACATCTATTTTAGTAGCATAAAATATTTATTATGTAGAATACTATTAAATTTAGAAAATTTTAACTTATTTAATATTTTTATTAATTTATTAAATTGATATAAATTTTTATATAATTTATGTTATATTTTAATTATTTTTTATCATTTTTTATAATTATCTAACTATTTTTTGAATAATTTAAATAGTAAAATAGTTTAATATATATTAATATGTATTTAATTATTAGGAAAACAGAAGTCAATTAGACAGGGGGACTCTTGTATTTGAATTTTTTTTAAATATAAATTTTTTACAATTATTTAGAGAAAGTGGGATATTAAAGTATTTTTTTGGGGTAAAAAGGAAGTTATTGGAGAAAAAGATTATGGTTTGTGATATTTTATTTATAGGCAATCTAAAGAAGATACATCTTAAATAATTATCTATTGCTCAAACCAAAAAAGAAAAAGAAGATAAGTATTGGTATGCTGTATCGATGAGCTAAATCCTACTCATTTCCATTCGAAAAGATTTAAAATGAGAAATTTAGTTTCCATAAAATAAAATATAATGACAAAGGACCACGTCAAAAGAGTAGGCAAGGGCGGTGTTGGACAATTAAAAAAAGTGGAGAAAGTAGTAAAATCCCCTAGTGGGTCAGAAAAAGGCATTATCATACGCGTCTCCATAATGTCCATAATATTCAATTTGCATTACAATTTGCATTCTCAATTTGCAATTCCCAATCTCCACCACCTCTTAACCAAACCCTTTACAAATTCCCACCACATATTCCTCTCTCTTTTCTCATTTCTCAATCTTTCTTCAACCAACAACTCTCCCATGGCTCACAAAATTACCAAAAAAGAAGAAACGGAGTTCAAGGTTCCTGAAACCATCACACCATGCATCAACCCTCCAACCACCGCCACAACAACCACCGTAGCAGAACCGTCTAGATTTTTCAACGACAACAATTCAACACCCAGATCCGCCACGTCATCACGCTCCCCGAAACGATCTCATCCTAGCGAGGCCGATTCAGAACTTCAACTTCAAACGACGTCGTCTGAAGCCAAACGCGCTGTTAACCGTTGCTCCGGTTGTAGAAAGCGAGTCGGTCTTACCGGATTTCGTTGCCGTTGCGGTGATCTTTTCTGCTCCGAGCATCGTTACTCCGATCGTCATGATTGTTCGTATGACTACAAAGCTGCAGGACGGGAAAGTATTGCTAGAGAAAATCCTGTTGTGAGAGCGGCCAAGATCGTTAAGCTCTGAATATGAGTATGAATATGAATCTGAATATTTCAACGGTTAATCGGAAAAATCGAAAAATCTCGAAGAGATCGCTTGGGAAAACACGCAAATGATAGCTCCGATCGAAACAAACCGCGCCTTTAATCTATTTTTTTTAGTAATTTTCTAATTATCTTGTAATTTTATTTAGTTTGGATTGAAAATTTATAAATTATATTGATTACGTGAAACTGTGAACGGTTTTGGTTTGTTTGTTTCTCGTGTGTTCATGATTCTTACCGGAGAGGGTTCATCGGAGATTGGGGGGGTGTATAGTAATTTCGACGGGGTTATGAGGGTATAATAGTCAATTTGTGTTGTACTTTGAATTTGATGTTTTCTTGAAGTGTGATGAAAGAAGTTGGAAAAATTGGCTGGCTGGACCAACTTGATTGGACATGTGACGATTATTTCGAGACGCGATATAATATGGTGTCACGAGATATTGAGTTTGAGTTTGCGTGTTTTTTATTTTTCATCTCGTGATAATTGAACTTTATGATATTTTGAGAGCCAATGGGGTTATGACAGGTGTGATAGCATAATTTGTGAATGAAATATTATAATTTATTTTGCTTTATTAGTTTTGTTGGAGGAATCTCGAGGGAACGTCATGATCCAACGCATAGGATTTGGTGGGGATGGGATTGGGTATGTGGTAAGTTTGGTGGTGGATGTCGTTTTTGGATTTGATTTGAATATATGATAAAAATTGATGGAATTGAAATGTGATTTTGGACAAATTTAGAAAACAATAACTAAAAGGTAAGATGAGATATAGAACTTACTACAAGGTATTTATTTCTCCAATCAGTACAATTTTGTACAGTATACTCCATCAAAGGGCACTGGCATACTATTCGTTGTTATTATTGCAAAAATATGAAGGACAGGTTCAAAATAATATTCAAATATATATATATATATATATATATATATATATATATATATATATATATATATATATATATATATATATATATATATATATATATATATATATATATATATATATATATATATATATATATATATATATATATATATATATATATATATATATATATATATATATATATATATATATATATATATATATATATATATATATATATATATATAAGATATATTATCATGTTAATTGGTTCATAAAATTGTCTCTTCATTTGTAGCAATTGACTTAAATTCAAATTTGGCAATTGTAATGTTTGGTGAAATGGTGGAATAAAATTTCGATGGGATGTAATGATATGCAAGGTTAGCATCGTGTGGGATAGGCCTGCAAGGTTAAGATTTAAATGTGTAAGTCAGCGAGAGAATGAAGAGTATGGTGAATTATGAGTTGAAGATAGAATATCTTAAATCTTACACGATATATTTTATAAATGAATGTTGATTATGGATGTTTTTTATCATTTTGGCGTGGAACTTGGAAGATTGTTTGACGACATCCAACAATGAGCATTAGCCTCTGATGTGAATTCAATGTAGCACTACACAGTAAGGTTGTACTCTACTCTAAGTGCTTTCATGGAGTAATCAAGGTTGACGATAGAGTTTCCTATTTTTGATCAGTGACTGGTTCAAAACAATCTCTCCCAAGGCTAGTCGTAGTGCAACAATGAGAAGTCTTTTAGAAACTGGATTAGGCTCATTACATTCAATCAATCACTTGGAAAAATAAAAAATATTTGAGTGTAGGTGTGAATAACCTTAGGAATAGGCTCATTAAATGTTTGTCTTATCATTGAAACGTTTTGCATGATCGCTTTTATACTTGACCTTAGCTCCTTAGACCAGGGCATGACACATCTTCCTAGGGTGCTCAAGTATGCTCAAAAGTCGTTACAATATCGAGACAAATTCAATTGTTTCTTTTCATCTACTTATTTTCTTTTATTTATGACAGTTGATTTACTTGCCTTGCCCCAATATATAAAGGTTACTTTACTTTTCTAATCACATTTCCACTTTTTTACACAATTTGTAAACCTTTCATTATTCTATAAATCTTGATTTCTTTTTATCTTTAGGTCATGCATTCTATCGATTCCTTACGTTCCTATAACTGTTCATTGCTTCGTCCCCCAAGTTTTAGTTTTTCCATGTACAATTTCTCTTTCTGCTTGTTAGTTTTTTCTTCATTGCTTTAGTCATGGCTAATACGGGAGACGACCTTGCAAATGTTCTAGAAATTTCTAGTGATGTCAGCGATGCTTCATCTTGCAGTGAAATATTATACCTGAAAATGCCAAACATTGTACCTTTAGCGGTTAATTGACCCATTACAAACCTCGTCGCTTTTAGTGATAGTTTTGGCTTAAGCAGAGGGTTCTTTGAAAATGGTAGTGAATCCTCGAGTTCCCATTCTGATGGAAATATAAGTGTTTGTACTGGCCACGTTGTTAGGGATACTAATGTTGGCCATTCTTCTCTTTAGCTTGTTGAGACCCACCAGGATGAACTAGAAATGTGTCTCTTCGTTAATTCGTTTAAATTCTAAATGGTCGGGAGCCTAATATTAAGTAGGTTATGGATCACCTCAACTTTCATAATCTTTCCTTGATTCATGACACGCATTATTTTTTTTCATGACAATTGGGAAGCCATGGTTTGAAAGGAGCATTAGGGTCTCTTCATTCCTGTTGATGTTGCTCAATACCACTGGGAGGAGGCGGAGTCATTGGGAACAACTTCGTTCTTCAATAACACTCAAAGATTGGAAATGCATACAAAGATGTGATATCTCCCCCTGATTGATTTATTTCCCATATCAATCTCGAAAAAAGGACTTATAGTTCCTTAGAATGGTGTTATATACCTTTCTTTGAATGTTTGTCTTCTAGGCTGAGATTTAAGTTGTCTTTCTACAATTTCGAGCAAGGAGTGTTGATCTACTTGAGAATTGCCTCATCTCAAATGCACCTGATGGCTTGGGCATTTGTCAAAGTCTTACTTTTGCAAAACACCTATATGTGGTATATTAGTATTTGAGTTGTATATGATACTTCTCATGGCTTGCTTTGTCTCTTTTTGATGTTGTCAAAGGGGGAGAAGCATATGCGGGATGAAGTTAGGATGATGCTTTGTGGGCATATATAACAACTTTCAAGACCCCCTTAGGCATGTCTCCTTATAGACTTGTTTATGGGAAGGCATGTCACTTGCCAATTGAGTTAGAGCACAAGGCTTTTTGGGCAGCCAAGGCTCTTAATTTTGACTTGTCTAAAGCTGACCAAGCTAGAATGCTTCAACTTAATAAGTTGGAGGAGCATAGGTTGTTCTCTTATGAAAATGTTGAATTGTATAAAGAAAAGAACAAGAGGTAGCATAATAATAAATGTTTGAAAAGAGAATTACTTGAAGGACAACTTATTCTTTTGTTTAACTCTAGACTAAAAATTTTTTTCTTCTGGAAAAATTATGTTTATATGGTCTAGCCCTTTCAAATTAATAAAGGTTTATCCTCATGGGGCTGTGGAATTGTTGAACGAAAGAACGTGTGAAACTTTCAAAGTGAATGGTCAAAGGTTGAAGACTTATCATGGTGGCTCCTTAAACAACACAAGGGTCACCATGAATTTGCTTGATTAATCTTAATTTGCTCATAGTGCTACTGAGATGCAGCCCAAATTAACTTGTATGTTTAGTTTGTTTTATTTTTTCAGATGATGTGATTGATGCAATAAAATGAAGAAGATTCAACGATGAGTCTTGTCGTGACTGATAAAGCTGAAAGGGTTAAACACAAAAGAGGAAAACAATTACTGATACTCAAATGTTTGAACCCTGCATGAAAGAGGAAAAGTCTTAAGGCATATGAGAAAAGCAAAGTAGCATCTTGGAGCAAGAACCTTGCGCGTGCATGGGCATATTGTAGCTCTGTTGCATGACGTCAGAAGGGGACATGTACATTTAATGTTTGTTACACGTTTTTATAGGGAATCATTGCCAAAGCAACCCTCACCATGACCTAGACTGATTATCCCTCTCTCATTGGTCACTTCAAAATTTATTTTCACTTTTGTACGTTACAATATTTTCTCTCTTCAAACCTCCCAATTTCCCTTCACAAAGATAACTGCCCACTACTCTTCTCCATTTTTAACCCAAACCGCTCCAATCAAACTTCCCACAAATTTTCTCTCTCACATTATTTATTTCAAAAAACCATTCAACCCACCACCCACTTCCCTTTCAACGCTTAATCCAACAATGAAACCCACATACTCTCAAGGCCGAATCAAGTTGTATATGCATAAAAGCACCACCCCTGCTGATGAAATATCTAATGAAGAGAGCTCTGACTGTGAAGTTTTTATCACTGATCAAGCTAGGCAAAGATTCAATGATATAATATATGGAATGACCATGATCTCTAAATGTGGTTTCATTATGGACAAGAGTGAATAAAGCCTAGGGCTACCTTGAGATATTAGTGCTATGATTAAAAAGCAGAAGTGGGTCTAATTTTGTCAACAACGTTTGCCCTATAATATCCTAATAGTAAGAGTTCTATGTAAACTTGGTGGACTCTAACTAGAAACCTGAAGTCACGGTGAGAGGGATATGTGTATCTTACTCTGAGGGAATAATCAACATGTTTTTCAAGTTGAGAAGCACTGAAGACCATTACCAAGAAATATTGGAAAGGGCTAATGAGGATGAATTTGAAATTTACATGCAATATCTTTATAACTTGGGCACTACTTGGGTGGAGACCAACATAGAGACAATTGTGAAAAGGATGGATTTAAGGCCTGAAGTTAAGGCGTGGTACCAATTTGTGAAGCATTCTCTCAAGCACACAAATCATAATGATACTGATAGTAGAACAAGGTTGTCCTTGTTGCATTATATTACTGCTGGAGAAAGTATTGATGTTGGCAAAATTATCCTGCAAGAGATTCAAGCTTGCTCCAAAAAGAAAGAAGGGATGCTTTATTTCCCTTGTTTGATTACTGCACTTTGCAAAAAGTAGG